AAAGGAAACCATTAGAAAGCGAAAGCGATATAAAGATGATATAGAGAATAATCGCGCCAAGAAACGATGTCGGTATACAAATGATTTAGAAAATAATCGCAAAAAAGAACGCAGACGATATAAACAGAATTTAGAAAATAATCGTGATAAACAGCTCAAAAGATACAAAGAAAATATAGAATTTAATCGTGTAAAGCAAACAGAACGATACAAAAAAAATNGTCTAAATAATCAAAGGCAAAAGCGAATACGTTATTCGTTAAATTCGCAGCATGAACGAGATAGACAAAAAAAATTAAATAGTCTTGAGCATTTTCGCAAATCGCTGTATAATAGACGGTATTACAAAAAAAATACAAAATCTGATTCAAAAATAAAAAACTGTGTGATGGCTAAACGAATTATAATGAAATATAATAGAATCCGTACATCAAATAATTTTATAAAGATTCGTGGTTCTAAAGAAAACTTTATCGCAAATATTTCAGAAAAACTTAACATTAAAGGGAATATCAAGAAAAGAATGGAAGCAGAAAAAATCGTACGTTGGTGTATTGTTGTTAGAAACAATAACATTCGTGATATTTCTAAAATATTGTCTTTGCTTAGAAAAAAATCAGAAATATGTTTGACTGTTGTTGCGGAATGTACTACAATTGATGAAAAATTACATGCATTGTGTGGAATATCTAGACATACAGCTTCGTCTGAAAATTATTTTCTTGATTCTACTTATCATCAAAAACATTTAGCAGAATCTTTGATAATGAATATAGAAGGACAAATTGTAAATGTTTTGCCCTTAATACAAAGACAAGCAAAAATGTCGTGGTTGTGTAATAATTCATGCAAAACTGACGATCCATTCCTAATTAGTTATTATGAGAAACTTCTTCAAACAATACATATATGTACTTTAAAGAACGTACCAAAATTGATGCAAACTATTTTTAATTGTACTGTAAAAACTTCAGATAAAAAATTAGGTCATGCGCACAGTTGCTATATTACTTCAAGTCTTTGTAAAGCAATGTGTATTCCACTTCAATTATTATCGCCTCATTTTCCAAAAGTGAGAAATATGAGACGTTTGATTTATCAACTTAAGAATGTTTATCAGAAGCTTGTAAATCTAGACAAAGCTTTAACTTGTGCTGATTTAGACACATTGAAGGACATTGTTATTTCGGCACAAGAAAAAGCAGATATATACAAACAACAGCAATCTAATACTGTTTTGAGTGACGACGATATCATTGCTAAATATCAAAATGCATTTAAAGCCTTGACTAAACGCTGTATGGATATACCACGATACGTTTGTGTATCATGCGAAAGACTTTGTTACAAAAGAAATATTTCTGAAGTAAATACTGTTCAAAAACAAATAGACATTCCACCTTGGAGAGATTTGATGGTTTATGTAAAAGAAAGAAAAATTGATGCGCAATATGTATGTGATTATTGTGTTCGAAAATTTCGCAATGGTGTCATGCCTGCGTATTGTATTTTAAATAATCTTTTCGTAGACAACGTGCCTGAAGTAATATCGTCCC